TTGCTATAGGGCGCTTGCACTCGCCAGAAAGACAGAGACAGAAAGCGAGAGATCACCCCCGGGGGGATGGACACACCGCAAACTCTTCTCCTCCATTCTCCTCTTGGGATCTTGGGCATGCACGCACACGCACCTGGCCTGAGTTTAGGCCACCAGGTCTGGGACTCGAACCACGGTCGACTACATGGGAGTCCAGCGACGTAGTCAATAAGTGCTTCTAGGGGACCAGCGGTTGGCATAATGGCTACGTCCCTGCCCTTGTCTCAGTCTGGCGCCCCCGTCTCCTCTGCTCTCACTGCATGTGTGGGCCGCCGAAGGGGACTTTCTGAAATGCCCGAGCACGTCGCCCTCAGGATGCGATTGCTCCCCTGGCTGCAGCACGGACTTTGGCTGCTCACCCGGGAGTCCCCTGACCCGCTCGCCTGAGAAAGTATGAGGCTGTCACACCCAGAGCCCTGAACATGGTGCTGTGCCCTGGACCCCACTCTTCTGCCCTCCTGCACTTGGTGCTAAGTCTGCCCACATTAGCCCTGATCACATGGTCTCCCTGCTGGGGTTATTTTCTGACTTTCTATTTTGAAGTAGAGATTCGTAAGAAGTTGCCAAGAAGCACACGAGGAGGGCATGTGTGGGACATTCTGCCCCGCTCGGGTCAATGTCAACACTAGGAGCTGGCCTTGGTACAACCCACAGAACTCACTCGAGAGGCAACGGGTCTACCTCGTGCCCTCGCCTTATGCATGTGCTTGTGCATGTATGTACGGGCCCATGAAGTGTTTACACACATGCAATCCCCTGTTTGATTTGAGAGTTCATGTCACTCTGTCTTCGGGGACATGGCATACAGTCGGTGCCCATGACATGTCTTGCCTGTGTGTATTCACGACCAATAAAGCCATGCATGTGACCAAGCAGGGCAGGGGGCTCGGAGCCGTGAAGGGCCTGATGCGGCAAGCTGGGCCAGTGGAACGCAGAGCAGAATGTGAAGGTGGGAGAAGGTGATGGAAGGACCATCTAGGGCAGGCGCGCACAGACTTCATTCTCAGGGTTAGAGTTTGGACCTCACGCTCCAGACCAGAAAAGCAGGAGGCAGTTTTGCTGCATTACAGCTGGAGGGTGGGGAGGCCAGGTCACCAGGGGGCCGGGGGCTCACCGGAAGCTGGCCCGGTCAGCTGGCAGAGCAAATGCAGAGGCAGGAGCTCCAGAAGAAGAGGTGACGGTTGTAGGAGCTCGGGGACAGGTTGAGAAAGGAGTGAAGGTCCCACTGGGATGGCAGGTGAGGGGTCGGGTCACGGGCCAGGAATGTCCTTCCCTCGGGAGTTTTCCCACGGTTTAATGCTACCGGGTGGGTGCTGGCAGGTGGAGGTTCACCGTGTGGTATTCCTGACCTTCAGGTGGGGTCGAAGCCCCCAGCCAGCTCCCTCGCTCGTGTTACCTCATAGCCAATCAGGCTGCAGGGCAGGGCAGCGGCCTCACGCAGCACCTGCGAAGGCAGGTGGTGGCCAGGTGAGGGTGGGGCGGGATCACCCTGAGCATCCTGGACTGGAGAACTGACCTGGCTTCTGTATCTCCAGAAGCTTCTGCTGCTCCCCTCTAGGCTTTATAAAAATTCATGAAAACAGCCTCAATAAAAAGCAACCCGACCAATTCTCACAAAGGCGGCCTGCCAGCAGCTCGCCCAGCCTTTCTATTTTTATTTTGCTTGCACTGAGCTCCGTGCTATAAATGCTCGTGGCTCCGGCTCAGGACTGAAATGCCAGTGAGCCCAGGAGGCCGGCTCAATGCAAAAATGCCAACTCACCAGGCCGAGGAGAATGAACCGAGC